ACTGGCATCTACAGAGCTCGTCTCACTGAGTCATTTCAGAGAAAGCTCATTTTCCAAGATCTCTCCTGTGGTGCTGGGCACCCCAGAATCATAATTTCTGTAAAGAATCCTTGCCTTGTGTTACTTACCACCCCACTTTCCAAGAGATTTCTGCTCCTGCTGGAAAGGGCAACTGAATAGTGCCCACTGAGTGTGAGAGCAGAATAGCCCCGATTTCAGCCTGTTCCACTCTGACACTTTTCCCGTGCAGACCAGAGCTGTGATGGTAATTAGCTCTCATGAGCTGGAGAATTCATTTTTGGTAAGCGGCTGGGGCTTCTAACTTTGGAGGTTTGATGGAATCTTAGATGCCAATGGAATCCTTAAAACCCGTGCCTGTTTAAATGAACAGAACTCTGCATCAGTAGATAGCTGCCTCTAACCAGCAACTTGAGCCCTTCTACCCTCAATAAACCACAGGAGAGCCCCTGGTAGTGAAGAGGCCTGGAGAATCACATCAGGCCAGACTGTGTTTCCTAGAACATAGTCCTTAAGCGATATTTGTTCGCAAGTTTGAATACAGATTTCTTTGGGAGAGAAGCAATACCTATATGCTGTTGCTTACAACTTAAATCTCATTTGATCACTTTTAACCATAATTTATTCTCCCAACAAATGAGGATCTACTGATTGCTTTCTGGGTACAAAGCAAGGGCTAGGTCTTCTTGGTTTTTTAAGTTCTCGCTGGCTTTTATTCCTCTCGATTTGCTACAAGGAGCAGGGATTTCATCAACATGTACTCATTCCATCTGCCACAGCCTTAATGCAACTTGAAATGAGCTGAAGCCTGCTGTGGGTCCCCGGGGCACTCCACAGCTGCCTGCTCTTAATCATTAAGTTTTCTAAGATATTTGAACAAATTCTCCACCTGTGGGCTCAAGGCCAACACATTAAATTTAATTCGGTAACACAATTACCGAACTAAGAAATGCCATTATCATTTCATTCTCTCCATAAACTGTGCTCATCAGGTATTTTTTTCTGAAAAGTAATTTTTCAATTCAACTTTAATGGAACTTTATGAACTAGAATCAAATTTACCCTTGCTCTAACAGCTACATTTGCTCCGTGATTTTATTGAGAATTGTGGTGTTTTCTCATTGCTTTCTTTTTCACTGGCTCATATTTCCCCCAAATTTAGGTGGGGTAGTCCTGCCAAGTGTGCCTTGTTCTTACAGTCATTTGGGGTAGAATCATTTATTCATTCACTCAACAGATATTCTTTTTCTCTGTAGAAATCTAGCACTAGGCACTTGCCTTAGTCTGCTCTGACTGCCATAATAAAATACTCTACCCTGGGGAGCTTAAACGTGGACATTTGTTTTCTCACAGTCTGGGAGCTGAGACGTGCCCCCAGGCTCCAGATGGCCCCGTCTCCACAGCTTCCATCAGACGCCCTCCGGCCTGTTGAAGCACAGTGCTGAGTGACGCTGTGGTCTGGGCTGGAGGAGCTAAGAGGTCTGGCAGCCTGCCTTCATTTTCTCTCATTGTTCTGTCCCCGTCAGCTTTTCTGTACCAAGCTGGCGGTATATAATCCTGTCTCCATCCCTGGCTTCTCTAGAGGCAGGTGTTAGAATCCACGAGTCATACATATGATCTCCTTATCAAGGGGTTGTTCAGGCTCGCCCTGAGCGCTCTCTTCAGAATGGCTTTCTCAGTTTTTGCAATGTGGACAGGCTGAGAATCTTCCAAATCTTCAGGTTCTGGTTCCTTTTTGCTTAACAATCCCATCTTCAATTCATCTCCCTTCTTTCCCGTATTTTGCTATAAGCGGTCAGGAGTAACCAAGCCTCTCTTTCAACACTTTGTGTAGAAATCTTCTCAGCTAAATATCCTGTTCCATCACTCGCACGTTCAACCTTCCACAAAACACTAGACCACAGTTCGGCCAGGTTCTGTGCCACTTTATAACAAGGATTGCTTTTCCTCTAGTTTCCAATAACATATTCCTTATTTCCCATCTGGGATCTCACCAGAATTGCCCTTAACACCTGCATTTCTAGCATGCACCTCAAAACTCCTCCAGCCTCTAACCATCACTCGGTTCCAACGCTTCCTCCACATGCTCAGGCACTTATTACAGCAGTACCCACCGCACTTCTTAGTAACAAAATTTGTATCAGTCAGGGTTCTCTAGAAAGACAGAACCAATAGGGGTGTGTGTGTGTGTGTGTGTGTGTGTGTGTGTGTGTAAGGAGGGAAGAGGAGAGCAGGGGAGAGAAAAAAAGAAGGAGAAGGGGAGAAAGAGAGAAAGAGAGATGGAGATGGGGTTTAGAAAAAATTGATTCACACGATTATGGAGGCTGAGAAGTCCCCAAGATTTGCAGTCAGGAAGCTGGAGACCCGGAGAGTTTAGGTTCAGTCTGAGTCCAAAGGCTTGAGAACCAGGAGAGCCAATGGTGTAGTTCCAGCCCGAAAGTTGGCAGACTCAAGACTTAAGAAGAAACGATGTTTCAGGTCAAGTCTGAAGGCAGGAAAAGACTGATGTCCCAGCTCAAGGGCAGCACAAGTTTCCTCTTGCTCAGCCTTTTTGTTTGATTTAGGTCTTCAGTTGATTGGATGAGGCCCACCCACACTAAGAAGGGTGATCTGCTTTACTGATTCAAATATTAATCTCCTTCAGAAACATCCTCACAGACACACCCACAATGTGTGACCAAATGTCTGGGCACCCCGTGACCCAGTCAAGTTGACTTATAAAATTAACCATCAAAGTGTCATAGGACTTACAAATATGATTAAGACAGTTTTGCCCTTGAAAAGCTTACAAAGTCGTGCCAGAGATAGATTAGAGACAAGGTAGAGAGAGACAGTTGCTAAAATAAAGGCAAAGAACAGTGTTCAGGAAGAGTAGAGAGAGAATCTGTTGATTTTGTCTTGGCAGATCTGTAGGTGCGGCCACGTGAATAGCCTTGACTACAAGTTTGGATAACTGGTGATAAAGGAGAGGAGGGAAGTACACTTTGTAGGTGCAAGATGAACAGGGGTGTGTGTGCAGATGCATAGTGTAATTATAACCAGCACTAGCCTGGGAGGTCTTGGACATCAGTCTGTCAAGTAAAAGATCATTAAAAAGCAAATTAAATCTTTGAAGTGGTGTTGAAGAAAATGCCAAGGCAGGGGATGAGGTGTGTGGCACAGCTAAACGTCTATGATCCTCTTTCATAATTTCTCCCCCAGATCTCCCACGTGAGTGACCATGCATGGCAGCTACTCCAAAGGCTCTCTTCTCCCACACCCGAAAGCCCCCGAAACATCCTCCCAGCCCAGCCTATACACGTGTTCCTGTGTAACAGGAGGACTGCCTCCTCCTTTTTACCTATAATTTTTCTTCCATCAGTAGCTCTTTGTTCTTTATAAATTCAACTAGCTTAGCTTCTCCAGTTCTGTCCCTCATCCATTGCCTCCATCTACTTTATACAGGCCTAGGAGCTAATCAGACAATTCCAAGTGTGCTTTGCTTGTGTATTTTTCCATTGAAAGCAGCAAATCAACAAGTCACTTGATATGCATCCTATGAAAGGATGTAGTGGGAAATGAGGCTGGAAGGTAGCAATAAGGGCTAACAGCTATGGGTGTCTCCTGTGTGCCACGCAGTATTGAACTTTAAAGGCCATGCTGGTTAGTCTGAAGTTTACTCCACCGCCCTTGAAAGCCATGGAAGATGAGTGATCAGAAAACTGACACGTTCAGATTGTGCTTTAAGGTCTACCGGTAAGATTAATGCACGTAAAACAGATGAGAGGCAGGAATACTGATAAGGAAGCTGAGAAGTCCAACTGAGCGAGAAGTGCTCAGCACCCATCATGTTGGACTTTTTTGCTGTAATAAAGAGAGGTTTGTGCAGACCATTTTAATATAAGGTGTTTGTTTAAAGGATACTCAGAGATTGGGACAGGAACTAGACCTGAAAACCTGCAGGATGGGGGTGGGGGACTCCCTTCATCTCTTCCTCTCATGGCATCTCCCTCATGTTTCTTTGGTTCTGCTCCACTCTCCTCTTGGGCTCAAAGACCCATCCTCTCCTTTAGCTTTACATCCAAACCACAGAAGGAGGCTCTCAAGAATATTCAGTTAATTACATCACCCCTCGAGCATCTTCAGTCAACAGTCTCCCCTACAGAAAGGAGAGCTGGTCAGTCTTTTACAGACTGAGTGGGCTACCAGCTGGACAAGTGGGAAAGCGGCAGTGGACATGGCAGTCATCATAATTAATACTTCTATTTGTGATTTGTTTGGAGAAGAGGGTGTGACTTCTATCTTAGGCCAAAAATCAATTTAATTAAGTACTGTTCTTCATTATGCCACAGCTAGCGCTCTAACCTTGACCAAGTCACTTCTGTTCTCTCTGCCTTAGTTTCTTCATCATTCAAATGGAGATAAAGTAACAGCACTTTAGCACTTAGCATTCTTCAGAATTATCAGCCACATTACTTAACATAAGATTTCACTCCTGTGCCACTTCCGGTTAACTAAGAATCACAATACCTCACACGTATAATTACAGTTTGCAAAGCAAGTTCACATCCATGTGATCTGATCCTCACAAGAGCTCTTTAAGGTAGGTAAGACAGATATCCTTACCTCCATTTTTCTGAGATCCTGAGACTTCTTCAAGGTCACATAGCTCTTAAGTGACAGAGCCAGGATTTGAATTCTCATCTTGAAACCCTAAGTCCAACACGTCCTCCTCTTGTTGGGTCTCAGCATTTTGGTTGCTTGGTCTCAAAAAGCTATGGTGTAGTTTTTTATTTGCTATGGGCAGATCTGCAGTAGGTATCAAAACTCTTGTCTTCATGCTCTTTCTATTCCTCGTCTGTCCCCTTTTTTTTTATACCTCTCCTGTTTCGTGTATTTCTAATTTATTACAGAAGCCCCTGTTTGGCTTTTCAGTAACTAAGGATTTGGTTGTTGATTTTCCAAAGCTGCCTTGGCATTAACCCTTTGTTCCTGAATTGTAGGAAGACACTCCATCACAGTCACCACTAGCACCTCAGCGGGGAACCTCGGGGAGGATGGAATCCTGAGCTGCACTTTTGAACCTGACATCAAGCTTTCTGATATCGTGATACAGTGGCTGAAGGAAGGTGTTATGGGTTTGGTTCATGAGTTCAAAGAAGGCAAAGATGACCTGTCAGACCAGGACGAAATGTTCAGAGGACGGACAGCAGTGTTTTCTGATCAAGTGATAGTTGGCAATGCCTCTCTGAGGCTGAAAAATGTGCAACTCACAGATGCCGGCACCTATAAATGTTACATCATCACTTCTAAAGGCAAGGGGAATGCTAACCTCGAGTATAAAACTGGAGGTAAGTTACTTTTGAAGAGAGGGAAAGAAGGTGCCAGAAGATATTTGAGACTGAAGAGCATGACTTGCTGATAAAATGTCTTATTATGCCCATGAGTGACTAATAGCAGACAAAGACCACCCGAATTCTGCTAGCAGCCATCCTTGCTGTCCAAGACCCACACCAACTCCAAAAGTAACCCACTATAACATTGGGTCTTAAAATCTTTTATTCTGGACTCAACTTCTTCTAAATTTTCACATACATTCCCTGAAATATTTTGCCAAAAATATTTTACCTATACTTTTTTTCTCCATCAGTAGCTCTCTTCTTTCTCTTTCATGGTAGTGAGAGAAGCCAATAACCTGGCCTGAGACCTTTCTGTGCTAAGTAGGCCTGAACCCAAGTCTGAAATCAGTACCTCCAGGGACTCATGACACTAGAACCCATTAGAGGATTGGTTCTGACTGACCAACGTAACTGACCAAAACAATACTGTCCTGGGGGAGGAGGGTGTAGCTCAGTGGTAGAGCACATGCTTAGCATGCACGAGGTCCTGGGTTCAATCCCCAGTACCTCCTCTAAAAATAAATAACCTAATTATCTCCCCCGCTTAGAAAAAACAAAAACAAAAAAACCCAATATTGTCCTGTAAACTCACTAATCCTCCTCCAATGATATCCATGCTTCCTTACCAACTAAATTTAACATATGTTTTCTGAATTTACGTACAAAGGACTCAAGAGAGAGATACTGTAAGGAGTGAAAAATGATTAAGGAAACAAAGATGATTGTCCCTCCTTCTGTAGAGCTCATAGTGTAGAGATTATGGGGTAGAGGGGTCAGGGCAGAGATAAGAAATATATGTAAATATCTATAATAATTGGTAAAGTGCATTAAATGCTTTAAAAGAAATGTGAATAGAATGATTTGGGGATTCAGAGGAAACGAGAGATCACATCCAAATACATGGGGAGGAAAGGATAGGAAAGCCCTCATGGAGAGAATCCGACATTTGAGAGGAGCCTTGAAGGACAGGCAGAAGGCATCCGGAGCCCTCCTCGCCTAAGCTAGTCAGCACAGGCCTTTCTTGGACCCTTATGACGTGTGTAGGTAATGGTTTGAAGCACAGATCTAGAGTCAGACCTGGGCACGTACAGTGGCCTCGGCGAGGCAACCTCACCAAGTCTCAGCTTTTTCATCTTAAAACAAGGATTAACAGAGTCATGTCAAAGGGACACTGGAGCCACTTGATAGGGTTTCCAATGGCAAAGCTGAGACAATTTAAGCAATAAAATAAACAATACAGTGTTAAATTATAACTCCAAGTATAAAATGAACACACGAGTCCGTACTTATAGAAATAAGAGGGAGATGAAACAAATCTTCTTTACAGATGAATTTCAAATAATTCGCATTTAGCTCTCTCCCCCTCGATGTGGAGCCTAGACCTCTTCCACCCCTACAATTAGGGCATGTTAGACTCAGTGAGGTCTGGCTTCCAAAGAAACCCGGCAAACACTGCCTCAGCCAGGTGACCAAGGTTAACATCCTCAGTGCTAAGTCATGTTGATAGCATGCACTGTCTGATGGGGTAGGATGAGAAGGACACTTAACTTCTATAGTTTGTCTCTCCAAAACCCAAAACCTCAGTCTAATTAGAGGAAAACATCAGACAAATTCCAGTGGCAGGGCATCCCACAAAACACCTGACCAGTTCCCCTCAAAACTGTCAAGACCACGAAAAACGTGGAAAGATTGAGAAACTGTCACAGACCAGAGGACCTTAAAAAGACATGACAAATAAATGTAATCTGGTATTCTGGATGGGATCCTGGGATAGAAAATGGACATTAGTAGGGAAACTGGTAAAATCCAAATAAAGTCCAGAGCTGAGTTAATAGTAATATGTCAATAATAGTTTCTCAGTTTGGGCAAATGTGTCATGGTTATCCAAGATGTGAACACTGGGGGGAACTGGGCGAGGAGGACACAAGGGCTCTGTCCTATCTGTGTGACTTTCCTGTCAGTCTCAAATTATCCCAAAATTAAAAGCTTGTTTTTTTTTAAATGGGCACAATAAGAGACATCCCTAGGACTGTTGTGAGGAACAAATGAAATAATGTCTGGAATTTGGTCCCCAGCACAGAGCACACCCTCAGCAGATGGAGGTTCCTCGTCACGTCATGTCATGTCAGTTTCCCACATCCTCTCCCAGGAGCGTGTCCCTTGCCTGTTCCAAGGGTGTGAATCCCGTCTCCCCTGCTAGGCGGCAGGCGCTTTAAGGGCACAGCTTAAGGCCTTCCTTCCATCACTCACTCGGCACTAGCACAGTCCTGGGCAAAGAAGGATGCTAAATAAATTAATCATTAAATCTTGCCATTTTGGCATCATAAACATTTTACAGGCCAAAGTCCAGGCCTCCATATTTTCTACAAGTGTCTCTCTGCCTAGATTGATGGGGAAGTTAGTCTTAATTTCAAAATGCAGTTGCTTGCACCCCCAGTGAGGAGAATCATCTTAGAAGAAAACAAATGCCTGTCTCTCTCCGTGGATACCAGGGCTGGCGGTCTCTTTCAAAGCGAACTCCAAGTCCCCAGGCTGACAGGGCCTGTGTGTGGAATTTCTGTGGGTGACAGGTGAATGCTGTTTGTTCCCTCCTTCTCCCTCCGCACCCTAACCTTACCCTCCAGGCAGAAATATACATAAAATTCAGGAGGCTTCATAGGTGCCTGGGAAAATACCCAACTTCCCTAATGGATAATCTTTTGGGGTAGGGGGGTCACTTGAACTCCTCTTACTCTGAGAAATCTATTTGTTGAAACAGCTATACCGTGAACTTTAGGTCCTTGGAGTTTGTGATATTGGCCAAAGTGTTGTGATGGATGACAATACTATGAGCAAACCATTTTTTGCACCTACAGTACAATGGGTCCTACACAGACAGCCCACTGGGAAAGCACTGAGTCACTCCACTGTGTTTTGTTTTTAAGACCTAGCACTTCAAAGGCTATATTGTCTTATCTGTCTGACCTTGACATCTGTCCTTTTTGACCCTCAACCCTGCAGCCTTCAGCATCCCAGAAATGAACGTAGACTATAATGCCAGCTCCGAGAGCTTACGATGTGAGGCTCCCCGATGGTTTCCCCAACCTACAGTGATCTGGGCATCCCAAGTTGACCAGGGAGCCAACTTCTCTGAAGTCTCCAACACCAGCTTTGAACTGAACTCTGAGAACGTGACCATGAAGGTTGTGTCCGTGCTCTACAACGTCACAATCAACAACACATATTCCTGCATGATTGAAAACGACATTGCCAAAGCCACAGGGGATATCAAAGTGACAGGTGGGTTCCTTCACACTTGTGGTATGTGTTTATTGGGGTAAGAATCAAATGTAAATTAAAAATGGAATTTCTTCAGCAGATACATTATGTACCAGGGCACAGAAAGTGTCACTGAAATCTTGATCACAATTCCAGTTGGGATTGCATCATGTAAGGAAAAAACTAACACAAAACAGCGTTTATGGCATATAGGTCAAAGGTGGCCATTAGTTTTCATCTTACCTGCCCTCTTACTGCCTGGAGAGCAGTGTTTAGGATTCTGAGGCCCTGTCTAACTCAGCAGGACTACTTTAGGAAAGCAGTGGAGAAGCGACGATTATCTGACATCTCTGATAGATTCCTCTGGTGATCTACACCTAAAGTTCCCCAGGACTGGTTTGGTTCTAGCCTGCCTTTGAGAAGGCTTTTGATTCAAAGACTAAAGGTCTGCCGTAATCTTATTCAGTCCTTCTGGGACTGGCTCATGATCCCTCTAATACTGGCTCAAGATTAATCTGAAAGTTTCTAGATTGAGCTGGCCTCCCAGGCTGAGAAGTCCAGGAGCCGGAAAGGCCCAGCACCCTTGTCTCCCTTCAGTGCTTTAGTATATTACAAAACCTAGGGCTGAGCTAGTGTCAAGGAAATGCATAGATTGAATTATGAATTTTAAGACCATCCCTCTTTGGGTTAAACTGAATTCAAGCTGTAGGGAAAGGAGTATGTCGGAAGAACTACTGTCTTATATTAAGCCTGGTACCAAGCAGAGTATCTTGCATTGCATATTTTAAGTGCCCTATAAATGTTTGCTGAATTTAACTGAATAAAGAATATTTTCATCAGCTAGCTTTAAATTTAAAATTATATATATGAAAGGCAACCTATGGAATGGGAGAAAATATTTGCAAATCATATATGTATAAGTGATTAATACCCAGAATACATAAAGAACTTCAATAATTCAACAACAAAAAGTCAAATAACCTGATTTAAAAATGGGCAAAGAAAAAAATGGGCAAAGGAATTGAATAGACATTTCTCCAAAGAAAATATACAAATGGCCAACAAGCATATGGAAAGATGCTCAATATCCTTAATCATCAGAGAGATGTAAATGGAAACTACACTATCATCTCATACCCATTAGAATGGCTACTAGGAAAAAAACAAACAGAAAATAACAAGTGTTGGTGAGGATGAGGATGAGAAGAAACTAGAACCTTTGTGCATATTGGTGAGATTGTAAAATGGTGCAACCACAATGGAAAAAAGTATGGGAGCTTCCTCAAAAAATTTAGAAATAGAACTACCATTTGATCCAACAGTCCCATTTCTATGCATATGTCTACAAGAACTGAAAGCAGTGTCTCAAAGATTTATTAGCACACCCATGTTCATAGCAGCAGCATTTACAATAGCCAAGAGGAAGGAGCAGCCCCAATGTCCATCAACAGATGACTAGATAAACAAAATGTGGTATATACATACAATGGAATAGTATTCTGTCTTTAAAAAGGAAGGAAATCCTTTGGCATGCTACAACATGGATGAATTCTCGGGATATTGTGCTAAGTGAAATAAGCCAGTCATAGAAAGACAAATAGTGTTTGATTCTACTTACATAAGGTGTCTAAAGTAGTCAAGTTCTAGAAACAGAAAGCAGAATGCTGGTTACCAGGAGCTAGGGGTAAGGGGAAAGATGAGGAGTTGTTTGATGGGTATAGAGTTTCAGATCTGCAAAATTAAAACATTTTGAAGATCTGCTTCACTAGAATGTGAATATACTTAACACTACCGAACCGTATACTTTAAAAAGGCTAAGATAGTAAATTCTATATTATGTGCTGTTTTACTACAATAAAAAAGTAATTTAAAAATTGTATATACAAGAAAGAGAAGAGTTGTTCGACTATCCTGTGGAACAAATTGGTGATTGTACCAGTTGGAACATTTTTAGTTACTTAGAAAACAAAACCAACTCAAATAAGCCTAGACTAAAACTGGGAATTTATTAAAAGGGTATTAGGAGGTCTCATAAAACCAAGGACAGGAAGTGCAATAAGGCTTCAAGAACAGCTGGAACCGAGAACTTAAAGTCCATTGGGATTCTAATTTCTACTTTAGTCTCTTTGCTCTCTAATTGACTCACTCTTGTTTCAGACTATGGGGCAGAATATGGTTGCCAAGAGCACCTACCTTTAAAAGTCTCCTTCACTCAAGGGTTACTAGACTGAAGCTTAATTCCTCAGTCCTATTCAATTTTTCCAGAAAGGCTCTACTTGGGTCAGCTGCCCACACTTAGACTAGTGAGGCAGTACCCGATGGAAGGCCTTCCCAGAAGAGAAGGGGGAAATGAAGCATCAGGTATTTAAAATAAAGAGTGTTAACAACAGTATCTCAGTTAAAAGCTCCAAACTGTATAACTAATGCCTTCTAACAGAAGTGGCAATAACTGAACAAACCACAGAACTTGAGCTCAACTTTTATGCAGTAAACAGGTTCTTTTTCCATACATGCTTACTGAATACATCAGAACATGTGTTCATGTGCAGCACTAGGATTATATACAACTTTTAGTAACATGATGTAGCTCAAAATTAAGATAAAATAACATAATTCCTTCTTGTCATGCACAAAGTAAGTTTCTGAACAACTAAATGAAGCCATGGGGTTTACAGCCTGTGTTCTCTGAGTATACTGTAATTTGGGTCATTCATTCAACAAGTATCTATTGAGTGCCAAATACATGCAAAGCAATTTTTAAGTCCCATGAAATACTAAGATGAATAGTACAATTGTCATAAGAGAAGTTAACCACAGTGTGAATATGTTACCTAGAGGAACAAGTCATTAATTATGACTAGTGGCTCACTAGGTAAGAAAGAGTTCAAGCTGAGCTTTGAAGAAAAGGAAGGAAGGGTTTTGATAGAACAGAAAGGCATGAAATCACGATCCAATGTCAACGGCCAGGGGAGAATGATGAGGGCCGTAACCAGGGCAGTGACAATGGGAAGGAGAGGAGGAAGAATCAAACGTTAATGAAGAAAATAATCTACAGAACTTGGTGACAAAAATGTGAAGGACAAGAAGGAACAAGTCAAAGTGGGTCTGATATTTCTACCCAGGTTGCTTAGGAGGTTAGTAATGCTACCAACAAAAAACATGAAAATATCAGAAAAGCAACGTGTTTGGGAAAAAGGTGAAGAGTTTAGAGATGTTGAGTTGAAAATGCCCCTGTGTACAAAGGTGGGGCTGTCCGATGCTTAGCACATTACTTAGCACAAGTTTGGGGAGAATGCTTCATCCCTGCTCCACATATTTCCTTCTACGAGAAGAGATCCCCACCAATGTAACCCTTCTAGCCTCTCTCTTCTCCCCTCTTTCATTCTTCCCCAGAGGAGGAGGAGTTAATTTATGTGACGTGAGTTTATTAGAAGTTGGGCGTAAGTAGCTCAGTTCAGAAGTATGCATTCTACTCTGCTCCTCGCAGCCATCAGTTGTCAGGGCAGAATCTGCCCTCGCGGAAGGAGGCCTGCCCCAGTCCTGTGCTGCCTGTCACTGGGGAAGTCCGGGCTGCAGCCCACTTCCCTGCAGACCAGGCGTAATCCTTAATCATCAGATTTATCAGTAACAGATGGTATTTCAGCCTTCCAGTTGCCTTCTTTTTTTTTTTTTGGTCTTACTCTTTAATTGGTTCAAAACTCAGCTGGAGAGAGAGTATTTATTGGACTCCTTTGAATCCAAAGAATAGGTGCTCAAGAATATTTGCTGAATAATTATACTTTTAACTGGCATACAGTAGCAACTGTAAATCCAGATGTGAAACTCAGAATTCAGGCCAAGGAGGTGGACTTGGAAATGATCAGCCTAATAGGAGCAATGTTTATGAGGCTTGAGTGGGGTTACTGTTGTTTTTAGAGCTAACACTCACCCGGTGCTTACTATGGTGCTAGGCACTCTTCTAACTGCTTTGCATGTATTAACTCATCAATCCTCATAAAAACCTTATGAAACAGATCATTACTATTTTAGCCCTGTTTTATAGATGAAGAAACTGAGGCACAAACAGATTGAGTAACTTGCCTAAACTTGCCTGAAGTCACACAGTAAGTGTCAGAGCTGAAATGGACTAAATGACATTGGACTGTCTAAGGAGAAAACAGAGTAAAGAGTAATTTAATTTCTTCTGCCTTTCTCTACTTCAAAGTGAGAACAGTACTTTCTCATTACTTTGCAGTGGTGTGATGAAAGCAGATGGCACAGAACCTGTAAAGGTCACTGCCTAGAGGGAAAAATGTGCTCGAAACTAAGGACTGGCCACAGCTGTTTGTCTAGCCTATCCTTTATTTGGTAACCGAGAGCAATCTGTTTCTTGGCATGGTTTGCCGTTTGGCTGAGTGCTCACTGGTCTGGACTGCAGAATGGAACTGCTTTGAAGAAAAGGAAAGCTCTGCTGTTAAGCCAGTTGCAAAAAAGGTGAAGAATGGGGTACAAAATTGCCCCCAAATTAGGGTACAAGTTATATTAGGAACAATTTATTCTGTTTTAGAGGTACTTTTCTTGCTAACCAGCCATGTGAAGAACACATCGGATTTTCCTCTATGACCCTGAACATTTTTCTTTCCCTTTACAGACTCTGAGATTAAAAGGCGAAGTCACCTACAGCTGCTGAACTCAAAGGCTTCCCTCTGTGTCTCTTCTTTTGGTGCCATCAGCTGGGTACTCTTGCCTCTCTGCCCTTACCTGATGCTAAAATAATGTACACTGGCTGTACAGAAACATGCAAAGTCACTGGCACAACAGGTGAGGTGAATCACGAGTGGTGTGGGGGATCCACTGTGTGTGTGTGCTTGTGTTCCTAACAAGAACCAAGCAGCCCCCAGCATCAGCCTCAGGGAGAAACATTTCATAATGCCAGGGCAGTAGGCATTATTTCCACTAGTATTGCGGAAGGTAAGCAATTGTTAACAGAGTACAGACCGCACTGACCCGCTTACAGGAAAAACAGCTCTATACAATTCAAGTATTTGTGTAAATTCAAATGCCTTTTCATTTATTGAGTCATCCATGAAGGTAAACATACCTCACTGAGGAGAAAGCCGTTTGGCCCTGACTCGTTACTCTGATCTCACGACAAAGCATCACTACATGAGCAAAATCCCTCCCAGTCCCCCCTGCTGGCTGGGACCTGACAAAGCCCTCTTGCTGAGACTTCTCTCCTGCTTCAGTCCTCTGGCTCTAATTTTCATCTTCCTTTGTTACCAGGTATTTCTTGATTTCTTCAGTGACCCATTGGCTGTTCAGTAGCATATGGTTTAGCCTCCACATGTTTGTGTTTTTGCAGTTTTTACCTTGTAGTTGATTTCTAGTTTCACAGCACTGTGGCTGGAAAAGACACTTCGTATGATTTTAATTTTCTTAAATTTGCCAAGGCTTGTTTTGCAGCTTAGTATGTGATCTATCCTAGAGAATGTTCCATGTGCACTTGAAAAGAATGTGTGTTCTGTTGCTTTGGGATGGAATGTTCTATAAATAACAATTAATCCATCTGGTCTAGTGTGTCATTTAAGGCTAGTGTTTCCGTATTGATTTTCTGTCTGGATGATCTGTCCATAGATGGAAGTGGGCTGTTAAAGTCCCTTACTATTATCACTGTCAACTTCTCCCTTTATGTCTGTTAACATTTACTATGTATTTGGGTGCTCCTATGTTGGGTACTTATATGTTTGTTGTATCTTCTTCTTGAATTGACCCTTTGATCATAAAGTTCTTCTCTGTCTCTTATAACAGTCTTTATTTTAAAGGCTATTTTGTCTGATATAAATATTCCTATATCCTGGCTTTCTTTTGATTTCCATTTGCATGAAATACCTTTTACCATCCCCTCGCTTTCAGTCTGTATGTGTCTTTAGACCTGAAATAAGTCTCTTGTAGGCAGCATATGTATGGGTCCTGTTTTTGTATCAATTCAGCACCAGTTTTTATTTCTTTCTTTTGACTGGAGCATTTAGTCCATTTACATTTAAAGTAATTGTTAATATGTGTGTTCTTATTGCCACTTTGTTAATAGTTTGGGGGTTGTTTTGTAGGTCTTTTTTGTCCTGTTGTTCTCTTGTGATTTGATGACCATCTTTAGTGTTATGTTTGAATTCCTTTTTCTTTTGTGTGTATCTAGTATGGGTTTTTGGTTTGTCATTACCATGAGATATTTATATAGCAATCCATATATATATACATATACATATTTATAATTAAGTTTCTAATCCCTTAATTTCAAATGCATTTTCACAACCTTGCATTTGTACTCTCCTCCCCTTGCAATTACTGTTTTTGATATCATATTTTACACCTAATTATTTTGTGTGTCTCTTAACTGTTTGTTGAGGATACAGATGATTTTACTTTTGTCTTTTAGCCTTCTTACTACTAGTTTTGTGTGTGAGATGATTCCCTACCTTTATGCCTGCCTTTACCTGTGAGCTTTTTTCCTTTCATAATGTTCATGTTCCTAGTTTTGGCCTTTTCTTTTTATTTGTATTTTTCATTTCAGTTATTATATTCTTCATCTCTAGCTGGTTGTTCTTTATATTTTCTAACTCTTTTTTAAAAGCTGCTAACTTCTCTGTGTCCATCCTTCTCCCTAGTTCTTTGATCATCTTTACAATCACTGCCCTGAACTCTGTCTTGGGGAGATTGCCCATCTCCACTTTATTTGTTCTTCTTCTGCAATTTTATCTTGTTCCTTTATCTGGAACATGTTCCTCTGTTGCCTTATTTTGCCTAAGTTCCTATTTGTATTTTTATGTATCTGGCAGGTTGGTTACATTTTCTGACCTTTGAGAAGTGATTTGTTGTAGATGTCCTATGCATACCAACAGACACATCTCTCTCGTCACCTGAGCTGTATGCTCTAGAGTTCTTCCCATGAAGGCTGTGTGGGTCCTTCTGTTGTGGTGGGCTGACTAGGTGGGAAGTCTAGTAGGCTTCGTTGACCCCCAGGCCAGTGGTTGCCAGGCCTTGCTTCATGTGGAGGCTGCCAGCTGCTGGTTGGCAGGGCCAGTTTATGAGGCAGCTGACTGTGGAAATCCAGGAGCCTTGGGCCTAGTGCTGTATCACTGGTGGGTAGAGTCAGGGTCCAGAAGACTCTGGTGCTGTTGCTCACCCACTGGTGGGTGAAGCCAGGTCCTTGGGTTAGTGCCAGTTGACTGGTGGGCAGAGCCAGGTCTTGGAGTCTGGTTATAAGACCCAGCTGGTATTGCACTGCTGGTGGAGGGGCCAGTTCCTAACACAGTTGGGTCTCAGGTCCAGAGTGTCTCAACGCTTGTGTTGACCTGCTAGTGGGCAGAGCTGGGACCCAGCTGGTCCCCAGGGCAGGGTCTCACATGCTCTGGCAACCAGGGCAGAAGCAGTAATCTGATAGGAGCCTGGGTCAGACCTACCTACTGATCCAGAAGAGTCTCTTGGAGAGGCAGGAGGCAACTGCACATCACCTTGGGAACACAGGCACTGGTGGCAGCCCTTTTGGGGAGCTCCTTCTACCATGTGGACACTGGTGCTGGCAAGAGCCATTGTGGGATTCTCCCTCTAGCTCATTAATGCCAAGACCTGACCCCACCCAACAGCCCTCTGATTCTCAAAAAAGTAAGCCCAGCTGGCCTTCAAAGCCAAATGTTTGGGGGCTCATCTTCCTGGTGTGGGACCACTGGGCTGGTAAGCACCACATGGGGCTCAGATCTCACTCCTTTGGGTGATCCTCTGCAAAGTAATTATTCTCTAGCTCATGGATCACCCATTCGGGGGTATGGGATTTGACTATATAGTGAGTCTGCCCTTCCTACCTGTCTCATTGTGGTTCCTTACTTACGTCTTTAGTTGTACATCTTTTCTGGTAGCTTCAGTCTTTTTCATCAATGGTTGTTCTGCAAATGGTTGATTTTGGTGTCCCTGTGAGAGGAGGTGAGCTCAGGGTCCTTCTACTCCACCATCTTGGCTAGGGATGTGTTGCTCTACTTTTCATTCCTTCTCCTGTTCTCCACTTACTGTGGTGCAGTGCACAAAAGCAGAATTCTCTGTGAGGAAATCTGCCTGTTTCCATCACTTCTGACCTCCATGATTGTCAATGGAGGAAGATTTCTCTGAGGAACTATCCCTTGAGGATCTCATTAGTAGAAGCCCTTCTTTCCTTGTTTCCCACAATACTGTAAATGAGTTTTTAATATCCTGCAACTAGATAATCTGACCTACAAAATGTACCTTATTTGTCTTTATCTTGTATTCCCTTAGAGTAATTTGCAATCTTTTTTTTTAATGATCCATGGCATACATGTCACAGTTGGTGTTTGCATGCAGTACACACATGGTTACACATTGTTACCTGGTCAACTGCAGCTCCATCTCTCTCTCTCTAGAACTATAGAGGGATAACCTTAAATTAATTTTTTCAAGTAAATGAATAGGTCATACAAGAAATATACATAATAACCGATCATGACACTTTAGGTCACACACATTCCCTGGCTGAGATCTTTTTGCTTCTACCTAGGAGCCTGCCCCTAGTTCCTCTCTCAGTTCCTGTTTGCTCTGAGGATGGTCCTCTATCTCAAGGGGAGACTCAAGCCATTTTCTTTCACCCAGCAACCCATGATACCATGTGGTCTCAACAGACTATCATCAAACACAGAAAAACAAGCCCATTTCTGAACGAGAGATACACTCATGCAGTGGAAGGGAGACTGTCCATTCTCAATAAATGTTTGCTGAATGGCTGTAATGGTATCTTATTGCTGTTATTCTGTTATTTTCAGAATCCCAGGAATCTGCAGAACTATTTCACCACAAGATATGACCTACTTTTATATTTCTGGGGGGAAATGAATTCATGTTTGAGAAGTCTGGAGTGAAAAAATAAGATCAAGCAAGAAGCAGCCAAAAGCAACCCACAGAAGACTTCAATATGAACAAGATAAATTTATCTTCAAAGACATATATTAAAAGTTGGGAAAACAGTTCATCTGAACTAGAGAAGTGTATTAAGACTACTAAGTAAAATGCTTGTGGAGACATGTATATTCCCATATCTCAGGGACCTCCCCATAGCCATCCCCGTCAGGGGAGTGAGAAAATGGGATATTACATCTCTCTTGTCTCTGAATCCTCAGCTATATTGCTGTAATGTTGCTCTGAGGAAGTTCCTAGAAAGTTCTGATTGCAATATACACACATTTTATAATCCACAAATTAAACTGTGGTGGATCCAGTAAGCTGCTGCTAATCAGCTGCCACTTCACAATTCAGAGGTGGCTGCATTTTACTGATGGTTCAAATGATTCACTTTTCATTACAATGCAAAAGTGCCTTGGCACCTCCTCCCACCTGGCATATGTTTAGGATATGTGGAAAATGATTTTAACATAAAAAATGTTTACATTAGTTGGGTGACACTGATTTTCTAAATTTTTAAAAACAAACTAACGGCATTTTACTTCTCAGATGATGTTCCCCCTTGAATGGTCCAGGAAAGGACCGCTCATCTTGACTGCACGGGGCATCATGCCATCACAAGGTTTGAGGTTTCTACTTTCTTTTCTGCATGGACAGTGATCACCTCAGCTCTCAACAGCATCTGGAGCAGTGGGACTCAAGCAGGGTAACTCTGCACCACCCCAGGGGACATCTGAAAATTTTGGAGACAATTATGTTGTCAGCTTGGGGAGGGCTGGGGGTGCTCTTGGCACCTAGTGGATAAAAAGGACCCAGGGATGCTGCTCAACACTTCACAACGTACAGGCAGTCTGCCCACAAGAAAGAATTATCCAGCCCAAAATGTCAATCGTGCTGAGATTAAGAAGCTCTGATGTAGAGTAGAAAAAGATCTAGAAGAGAGGGGAGCAAACAAACCTGTTTGCTTCCTAAAACAGGCATTAGCCTCTGTTTCTTGGGCGGCTGCCTCAGCACAGAGCCAGGTCTCAGCTTCAGGCAGCCAAGAATTCCTGATGGGATTATCTTCAGCTGCCTGAGCTTCTACGTTCCTTTCCCTTCTCTACAAATCAAGTCCTGTGAGAGCGCTGCCTGAGTTCCATCTCACTCTGAACTTAGGTTTCAGGACCCCGCCTAGGCAAAATTCAGAGTAAGGCCAATAATAACATGTAACTTCCTTGAAACCCATAGACTTCTCCAAGCAGGGGCAATGAAACTTTGAACTGAGACCCTGAGGAACAAAACTTCGATGATGTTTTAAAAAAAAGAATGTTTCCAGCCTCCTTCCCAGACTTTTCGCATATTGACCGCTGCCTCCCTGGCACTTGGACTACTTCATTTTAGAGTTCACTAGAATGATGAAATACACATTCCCTGTGCTATTGTCTGTCTGGTTTTCAGAGGTGTAGGAAAGGGAAGATGGATAAAAAGCCATAGATCAGGATCTAAAGATTAGTACCTAGCACATAACGGGCCTTCAATAAATGTTTGTTGAATGAATGGATAACGAATGGGAGGGAATGACGGGAGCCTGTGAGCATGCGCAAGGTGGCTAGGTCCTGTTTCTTAAGGAAACTGCATTAGGCTTTACTGCCAGGTCTCCATCTGGGAAAATCAGTGGTGACAGTAGGCTCATGGCAGATAAATGTGGGAGAATAAGTATAGGTGGACAAACACATTGCTCTGGGATCAAAAAGTCTGACTTTTACTTCTCAGGAATTATCAAATTCTCAAATCTCAGAATCCTCTTTCCTAGTCCTTTCACCTTTTAGGTGAAGACCTCGAGGCCCAGGGTAAAGGGGCGGTAACTGGCCATCCTCCGGCAATGTAACTTGCCAAAAATCACAGTGGTAGTTGGTGGAGGAATAAAATCTATAGAAAACTGAATTGCCAAAGGGAGAATTCCCAGAGGACTTTTGCAACAACTCTGCTACATTTCCAGCTTGTTCCCTATAGGCCTTCTGCAGGAAGAGAATAATGCTGAACCACACTGAGAAAGCAAACGGTGAAAGCAAGCATAACCACTCCCACCCCAGGTAACCTCCCTGACCTTGTCGGGAACACAGTGTTGTGCACAGATGCATTGTATGAGCTGAAGTAGAAGGACCAGAATACGATGTACATCACGATCATCAGGGAAGCTCAAATCTGAATGATGTCAGGAGCTAAGACATTTCAACAAGTCAAACTTCAGGCAGCAGCACTGGCTACCACCTGTACCCAGACTCATTGTAAGTGCGCAGTGACCCCAATCTGTGCATAAATTGGGGGATGCTGGGGCATCATTATTGCATAATAAGGCTTCTGCCCAGTGGCATGTGTGGTGTGCTTTGGTTCTATTAATGAAATTTGTAATTTCTAATCTCCCTCCAGCTGGTGAAGTCTCCATACATCCGACTGGCTACTCTAATTCAGCCTATCTTACTATTCACCTGAAGGTCTTGTTCCTTCTAACAGTGTCTTATTCCCTCGTTCACAGCAATCATCTCCAGGAGTTTCAGTATGGGAGCCATGAGTAAAAATTAACAGTCACCAAAAACAGAACTTTAGATATGCTCTCTTGTCTTTCTTTGAATTCTACCTCCTTCAAGCAAAAATTCTTCTTTCCCCATGAAGCTGTCCCTGAATGGTCCGAGGCACCATGATTTTATTCTCTTCTTTAGTCTATATATGCAATTTAACACAAAAGCACACACTGTTTTGTCAACTGTTCTTCACTACTGAGTACTCGGAGACTTCCACCCTTATTCTGTCATCATTTTCAAAGTGTCCAAGTACTCAGCAATGAAGAACCATGACGACGACAAAATAAGGGTGGAGGCCCAGGTAGTCCTTGGAAGTTTGCTCTTAAAAGGGATCAAGCAGACACTCCTGGAAGCCTTGTTTTCTGAGTGTCTGCTGGGCCACAGGAGTTAAGTCACAGCTTAGAAGGGGGTCTGCAGTTATCACTACAGGAGTCTATGTCTTCTCAAAGTCATAACCTGACCTTCAGCTTAGCTTCTCTCTTCAGCTCAACTCTAACTGCCTGGCCTAAGAAGTATCCTTAGCATTTTCAGTTATAAAGTCTCTTACCCAAAACTCTAAACAATACAAATAAGAACTTGATGGATACCTTAGTCCTATATCTGTTCTTCAGAATAAGCCAAAAGTGATGCTCAGTTAATCTAGCCTGTGAGCAGTTCATAGGAAACCAAGACCATGTCTTTTCTCTTTGTCTTCTATATTTGCAGCTACGAAGATTTATTTGCAGTCATTTATGTATCATTATAGGGAGAACTATTAGGTTTTGACAGATAAAATTCCAGGACCTCATGGTACTTAATATGAGTTGGCTCAGATAACCGTATGACTCAAGCGGTGGGTCAGGTCTCACACCTAGGGTAGGTGAGACTGGAAATGCGACAGATTTACAGCATAAAGGGAGCAGTTTCTACTGAGAGGCAGTAGATGCCCCATGAGAAGCCAAATGAGGCTCACAGTCTGCTGAGGACCTATTGAGAAAAAAGGCAATCGTCTTCAGTTCCTCTCACCTTCCCTTTTATTCATTTTCTTCCATACAGCTCAATCGGCTCTCCTCTGGGCCCTGAGTACTCTGTCTTTCCATCAAAACTCCCCCACATACACCACCTCCCCTGACCCTCACCACACACACAAAGCTCCCTGGTAACTAGCTACACAGGAGAAGGTAACATACTGACTACTACCTTCTTCATTAACTTAATGTATTATCTTCCCAGGGAGGCAAATCCTCACTTCACTGAAATAAAACTGTGAGTGAAAATATCAAACAAAAATATCAAACTAGTGGGAGATCCTTCAGGTATCAAAGTACAGACCAGTGATTCTCAGGGAGGGTGGAGAGGTGCCTTTTAACAGAGGCATCACCACCTCCACCCCCATGGCTGGTGTTAAGAATCACCGTGTTACACGAGACATATCTGAAGAGAGTCCATTACCTGTATAGACATGTAACTGTTGTGGAAATTGGAGGCCCACTGACACAATCACCCCTTAGAGAAGGAACGGAAATCAAGTGCCTCCTACATCTTAAACATCAAACATCATACTAGGTATTTCTCAATCAGTCCTTACTTTATAAGGTAGGTATCACCTTGACGCTAGCAACATCACCATCACCATCATTTTACAGAGGAGAAAACAGGTCCTGAGAGGTTAAGCAACTCACCAAAGATCATACAGCCGACAGGCTGAAAAAGCATTCAAACTCAAATCTCCCATCACAACCCATACTACTCCTAAAAAAGTATGGACATGTGTAAAAGTGCCATAAAAAGTTTAAAACATCATATAAATATTGGCTATCATGTTCTTATATGTGTTAAACTATGAGGATTCATCGCGAACTCTTGGCTGCATTGCTCATGAAGCCCTGCAGCCGTCTGCAGGGAAGATCGGCCCCTCCCTGCACGGACCGCAATGCATTCTCCATTACCACTGGGTATTTTCCACCACCGCCCTCCCCTGACTCACAAAGGGCCTGGCAGTGAAATTGCAAGCCCCTTCCCAACTTACTCTAAGAACACCACGCTGCCGTGTTCCCAACAATTCCTTGGGGACTATCTCCAAGACTTCAGAAGATGGTTGTAATCTGCTGAGGTGAAGTCTTCACCAGATGATCCAAAATGTCTCCTGAGACCAGTTTATAAGTTCTATGTTAACTGACCTCAAACACACCTGGAAAGAATAGGTTTAATTATTATAAATTCTTCCTTGAATCTACAGATGTTGAGTACTGGACTGCAGACGGTCCTGTCCACTCTGCCATGACCAACCATATTGCTTTTATATAATCAAGTCTATCAATTTTTCCGCTTATTTCTTCTTTTAGTACTTATGTTTACATGTTTCAACATGATTTCTATACCCCTAGATTATATAAAAATGTCCATCTTCTCATTTTTTAATACTTTCATGTTTCTTTTTTAACACTTAAACCATTATTCCACCTGAAATTAATTTAGTATCATCTGAGGGAAGGGAGTTAACTTTTTTCAAGTGATTCTCTAATACTATTTATTAATTAACTTAGTGTCACCCCCAATAACTTTTTAAAATAGTTTACTATATTGATGTTCTTATATATGTACTTGTATCTGTTTCTGAACTTTGATAACCTTTGAGACATACATTTTAACCAGTAATATGTATAGGAAAGGAAAAAGAATAGTTATTTGCAAATATATTTACCTGGCTAATCCCTGGAGATGAGTAAGAAAGAGACCAAAATAGAGGAAAAAATTAGAAGTGAATAGTGAGTGATCAGAAGGGACTTATCAGTCCAGCGTGTAAACCCTTGCAAAGGCTTGCCCTGGTACATTAGGGCTTACCACTCCCCCGTAACGTAAGGAACAAGGAGTAAACATGGTTAGACACAACCAGGAGAGAGATGCACGTGTTAGGAAAGTGCTTGGCTCCATTTAAACCCTCTCCCCACCTCAGCCATTTACGAGCCAGAGCATTCCACCTACTTACTTTCAGGGTCAGGCCTAAGCCTACTCTGAACGCATTCCTACTGTGAGCAAAATTATGTTGGGAGTCCCTGTCTCAGTAGTGCCTGCCTCATTTGGTAACTGTGACTATTAAAGAGATAATTCATAAAAAACAGTTATTACACTGCCTGGCTGTGGCTGGCTCAAACAATAGAAATTTTCTCACAGTTCTGGGTGCTAGAAATCCAAGAGCAAAGTGTCAGCAGCTTTGGTTCCTTCTAAGGCCTCTCTCCTGGGCTTGCAGACAGCCACCTTTGCAGTGTGTCCTCACATGCCCTTTTCTCTGTGCACTTGCATCCCTGGTGTCTCTTCCTCTTCTCACAAGAAAACCTGTAATATTGGACAAGGGTCCAGCAGTATTATTCCATTTCACCTTAATTATCTCTTTAAAGGCCCTATCTCCAAATACAGTCACATTCTGAGGTACTGGGGGTGGGAACTTCCACATATGAATTTGTGGGGGACACAGTTCAGTCCATAACACTGGCATAAAAGAAGGAACTAATAAAAATTCGCTATTAAATGTGTTGGGCAGGGCAAATGAATATCAAGGCAGCCATCACAGGAAAGATGACCAACTTAGCTTTTTTCCCTCCATATTCGACCAAGAATAGATGTTAAATGTTTGAACAGTTGGGATACAATAGAGAGCCTTGTCCAAAGAGCTGCTGATTCAAACCAGGTCAGAGGACACTTCAAGACTTGAGCACAATGGCTCAGCAGGTGACGGAACTGAATTGGCTAATGGCCTCCTCAAACCACAGGTTACTATTTTAAATGTTACAAAAGACCACAGAGCATGAAAAGATGAAAAATAAAACCAGTGTGGGTCCAATCTTCAAACGAGGAGAACTGAGTGACAGGAGCAGTTTGGCTCCATGAGACTAAACTAAATTGCCGAGTACTAAGGCCATCTTTGGGCTAGAGGTAGATTACAATCTTCTCTGTCCTAAAGCTCTCAGAATAGAAAATAGCTTTATTCTTTTCTGTCCTTCTCACTAAAATCCTTTTTGCAGTCCTCAAAGAGTGAAAACATCTCTACGTTGGCCAAAGTCATGCAAAAGGACATGAACAAAATAGTCATGCAAAAGGGACACTAACCCTAGTGCTACATAATGTAAAGGAGGCTTATTTGACACCATATACAAAAATAAACTCAAAATGGATTAAAGACCTAAATGTAAGACTGGATACTTCTAAAACTCCTAGAGGAAAACAGGCAGAACACCCTGACATAAATCGCAGCAGTATCTTTTTGGATCCAACTCCTAAAGTGAAGTAAATAAAAGCAAAAATAAACAAATGGGACCTAATTAAACTTAAAACTTTTTCCACATCAAAGGAGACCACTGACAAATGAAGACAACCTACTGAATGGGAGAAAATATTTGTAAATGATGTGAGTGATGAGAGATTAATATCCAACATATATAAACAGCTCATAAAACTCAACATCAACAAAACAACCCACGTGGCAGAAGAACTGAACAGGCATTTTTTCCAAAGAAGAAATGCAGATGACCAACAGGCACATGAAAGGATGTTCAGCATCACTAATCATCAGGCAAATGCAAATCAAAACCACAATGAGCTATCACCTCACACCTGTCAGAATGGCTATCATCAAAAAGAACACAAGTAACATATGCTGGCGAGGATGTGGAGAAAAGGGAAACCTTGTACACTGTTGATGGGAATGTAAATTGGTAAAGCCACCGTAGAAAACAGTATGGAGGTTTCTCAAAAAAAACTAAACACAGAACTACCATATGTCCCAGCAATTCCACTCCAGGGTTTATACCCAAAAAAACTAAAAACACTAATTCAAAAAGATACATGCACCCCAATGGTCAGAGCAGCATTATTTACCAACCTAAGTGTCTATCAACTGATGAATGAATAAAGAAGATGTGGTGTGAATACTACTCACCATAAAAAGACAGAATTTTGCCATTTGCAGAAACATGAATGGATTTGGAGGGCATTATGCTAAGTGAAATAAGTCAGAGAAAGACAAATACTGTATGATATCATTTACATGTGGAATCTAAAAAAATACAACAAACTAGTGAATATAATAAAAAAAAGAAACAGACACAGATATAGAGAACAAACTAGTGGTTACCAGTGGTGAGGGGAGGGGAAGGGGCAGCACAAGAGTGAGGGAATGAGAGATACAAACTACTGGTTATAAGGTGGGTTCAGGGATGTATTATACAAACACAGGGAACACAGCCCATATTTTGTATTAATTGTAAGTGGAAAGTAAACTTTAAAAATTTTATTACAATTTTTTAAATTTTTTTTAAAAAGAGGGCTTATTTGGGGGAAAAAAACTTCTAAGCAGATTTGAAGGAGGAGAGCCATCTGAGCTCTTATTAGAGTGGTATGCTTAGGCTGGGCATAGCTGCACAGGACTCATTAGGGTCAAGTGTTCAAGCAGAGAGCGGTCCACCCTCCCATCACAGTAGAGAGTGACCCTTCCCTACACTACTACTCTACTCTCTGTTTGTAGGAAAAGAAAGAGTAGGAACTTCCCTCAACTGGGAAAATGGCCTTGCTAGAAAGAGGATTCCCCAAAGCTCAGGTGCTTGTACTAGGTCGTTCTCCCAGGGGATTCCAGGGCCCTCCAGATGGGCACCTCGCTCAGTCAAGGAAAAGGAACAATCATACTACCTACCCACCAGCCACCACAGGGAGGGTCAGGCAATCCTCACTAATACAAATGTCACTGGACTACTGATCAGGTGAAATGGTAGCACAAAGGGTGACCAACTTTCTTTAAGAGCTTCCACGTGGGTATGGCCACACTGACCCAGCCCTCTGCCAGGCGTGGAAAGAAGAGGCCTGCAGGACTCTGCTCAGATTTCATTAGGACCCAAGTTGTGATTTATAAACAAAAAAATCCTCTGGAGTTACACAGCCAGAAAGGGCCACGATAGTGGACCTCTAAGTTCTCTTTTGCAATTTGAAGACCACCCGCAGTATCTTATTCCCACAGCAGAGACAGCTTCTGAGTTGGCTAAATGATCAAGTCTTTCCCTCTGGCTTTCGTCTCTGCTTCAGGTACTCAGTTGCTCCCTGGGCAAATGATGGTCCAAAATCCTATCATTAACAACATGAAAATAGTACAAATGTCTCAAACATGGATTATGGAGCAGCTGTAATTTACAACAAAGGAAGCGGGTCACTTTAACTGAAAGATCACATGTATTTTTGGTAGTTAGCAAAAACAAAAGAAACAAAAAAAAACCCTGAAAATTCTCAAATTTTTAATCTCCAGCTTTCATCACCCTCTCCTGATTCAGACATGTTCCCAACTACTGACCAGGCACCTCCATCTGAAGTTACCTCATTCTAAACATATCCAAAACAAACTCATTTTTGTGAGTTGTTCTATCTGTTTAAGTTATCCAAGCTAGAGGTTTCAGAGTCATCTTTGACCCCTAACAAGTCCTAATTAATTAGTCATCAATTCTTGTCAATTACACTGTCAAAATGCCTCTATAATCTATCTTCTCCTCTTCATTCTTACTGTTCCTGCCTAACTCATCATCTTCTCTCGAGGTGCCTCTAAACTAATCTTCCTGACTCCAGTTTCATTTTAATTTTTGATCCAAGAACCACCCCTCTGAAGCATGGTGGAAATACAAGACTGACCTCTTCTGAACAAAGTAATTTGCCTCAGGAGGGGAAAACCAAGAATTCATTAGGCCTGATTCACGACAGAGGAGCGAGAGAGGGGAAGGGAGTTGGAAAGACAGAGGGAAAATGGCCATGCAACTAGTGGGTTAAATTAGCTAAGAATCTATTAAGATTCAAAATGGGGACCATTAGTTTTCCCTAACTGATATGCAAAAGAACTCGAGTATGTACATACTCTAAAAATTACAGATTTTTAATTTTACAGAGAAAAAAATGACTCCTAAATCCACCACCCTAATAACGATTCCCATCTGTACATGCCCTTTCGGTCTTTGTCTACTGCACACATATTTTATACAGCTGCATCATAGCCTTCATCTTGGGTAAATATAGAGAATTGTACACCTAAAGATTTGACAAGTTGGAAAAACAACTGGCTGTACTTAATCTCATGCATTTCAATTGAAGAATTTTCAGTCTGGAGTACATCATTCATTAAAGAGTAGTTCCTGCTCGTGAAGACTGAAGTTGCAGCCTGGATTGTATCTATGCAATATTAGACTAAAGTGCAGAATTTGGCAAGGTATTATAGATTTAAAACTGGTAGACCTCAGATATGAGGGAAATACCTAATGTCCAGAAAATAGAAAAGAATCTCTTACCTTCATAGCACCTTCTGGCTTTTATTAGCAGCATCTTTAAAATGGAGGAATAATGTCTATTTCACAGGGCTTTTGCGAGGAATAAGTGCACTGTAAACTGCAAAAAAAAAAAAAATGGTATGAATGTAAGGAAAAATGATTAGTATCACTCATGAGGCTATATCTCTCACCAAGCTCCAAAACTGAAAAACCACACCCTTGCTTCCTATTTTGGATCTCCCCCACCAACCCTCCCAGAATGCTACAACAGAGAGGCAGAAACAGCTCAGCTGGAGCTGAGAGAAACAACCAACCGATTTCTCTTTGGACCGTCAGGGACATTTCACCAAGAGTTTTATGGGGTTCATACTAGGAATTTGGGAACTATTTTTACTATTTATAAAGGTCTAACCTGAAATTATACTGTTATCAGCAGTAAAGCTTTACAGGCTAAATAAAACATCAAGGCTCACTTTATTTTTTCTCATTTTTTCCTTTTAAATGGAATTATATGAAATAAATATGCATTTCATAGAAAAACTAATCGTTGATTTATTTAATAAATATTGTATGAGGCCCCACAGTAATCACAGAGGACAAAAAGATGAGTAAGTCATAATTCTTGCCTTTAAGGAACTCACAGTGCAGTGAAGACAAATAAGTTTAATGGGCAGGTATAATATTTTATGGCAAGGGCAATAATGAAGACAATCACAATAAAGGGAATAAATGAAGGGCTCTCAACCTAGGCTTGAGTGGGACTAGGTGGTCAAGGAAGGCTTCCTGGAGGAAGTGAAATCTTAAAAAAATCTTCTGGGAGTTATACAGGCAAAGTCGGTGTGTGAAGGAAGAGGGGGAGGCCAGATGATACATCCAGGCAATGGGAGCAATACATGCAAACAGCCAAAGGTGAGAGAAAACGTGTTACCAAGAAATTGTGGGTCAGTAGGGCCCCACTGTAGAATTAGGATACAGGAGTGACAGAGACAGGGTGTAGACACAATGGCATTTTACCCCAACTTTTATTTGGAAAATTTCCACACTTAGAAAACTTGAAAAAATAGTGCAATGAGTACCTATATTCTGTTCACCTAGATAATATGGGTGGGGGTCAGGGTGGGGGGGGAAGAGAATGAAGCCAAAAGCTGGTTCTCTGAAAAGATGAAAAAAAATAGATAAACCTTTAGCCAGACTCATCAAGGAAGAAAAGGGAGAGGGCCCAAATCAGTAAAATGAGAAATGACAAAGAAAAATTACAAATGACAGCACAGAAATACAAAGGATCCTAAGAGGCTACTACGAGCAACTAAGTATATGCCAGTAAGACGGGCAAAGGCACAATCTCCCAAGCCTGAACCAGGAAGAAACAGAAAATATGAACAAGCCAGTTACCAGCACTGAAACTGAACTAGTAATTAAAAAACTCCCAGCAAACAAAATTCCAGAGCCAGATGGCTTCACAGGTGAATTCTACCAAATATTCAGAGAAGAGCGAATGCCCGTCCTTCTGAAACTATCCCAGAAGACTGAAGAGGAAGGAACACTTCCAAACTCATCCTATGAGGCCACCGTCACTCTGATACCAAAAATATCACACACAAAAAAAGAAAATTACAGGCCAACATCACTGATGAATATGGATGCAAAACTCTTCAACAAAATACTAGCAAACCAACTCCTACGATACGTTGCAAGGATCCTACAGCATGGTCAAGGGGGATTTATCCCAGGGATGCAGGGGTTTGTCAGTATCCTTAAATCAATCAGTGTGATGCACCACAGTAACAAACTGAAGAGTGAAAAACACATGATCTGGGGAAGAGGGATAAATAAGGACTTTGGGATTAACAGATACACACTATTATATATAAAACAGATAATAAAGACCTACTGTGTAGCACAGGGAACTATATTCAATATCTTGTAACATCCTATAATGTAAAATAATCTGAAAAAGAAAATATATATGTCTGTGTGTAACTGAATCACTTTGCTGCACACCTGAGACTAACAAACTGTAAATCTACTATATCTCAATTTTTTTTAAGTAAGATAAAGTCTAAGATTGCTAACAAAAAAAGTTGTTAACTCCTAATGTTTTCAGTTCTTCTAAGAAAATGTTTTTTATTGTTGGCCACTTGGCCACAGACTCCATATTTACATGCTCCAGAGAACCTAGTATAGTAGTAAAAGACCGAATTAGTCAATTATCACCTGGTCCTGTCAAAATGAATTAAGTAACATAAGTCTTCGTTGGGTGGGGTTAGGGGAGGAACATGGCAATCCCAAGTAGTTTGAGGGGTAACAGAGGAATCAAACCAAGGCAAGTCCTGGAGGAGAATACTCCTTGTAGGAGGCAGCAAAACTTAGGTGTTGGAATGAGAAGGTTGTACCGAAGATAAACTCTAGCAGTAACACTGTTTTACCAAGGCTTACAGCAGTGCTGTCCAGTAGAAATTTAATGTGAGCGGTCTGTGTAATTTTATTTTAGAAGCCACATTTAAAAAGTAAAAAAGAAACAATTAAAAAGAAATTTAATAAGAAATTTTATTTAATAGATTTTAATTAAAATATTATCACTTTTAGATAAATAAACTGTAGGACATTCATATATTGGACTATTATTCAGTGCTAAAAAAAATGAGCTATCAAGCTATGAAGACATGGAAGAATCTTAAATGCACGTTGTTAAGTGAAAGAAGAATCTGAAAAGGCTACATAGCGTATGATTCCAAACGTATGACACTCTGGAAAGGGCAAGACTATAGACAGTAAAAAGATGAGCGGTTGCCAGGGGCTTGGGAGAAGAGAAGCACAGGGGATTTTTAGGGCAGTGAAACTATTCTGTATGACATTGTAATGGTGTAGGTCATTACACATTTGTCAAAACCCACAGAATGTACAAAACCAAGAGTAAACCCTAATGTAATGTAATGTAATTATGCGTCAATGATGCTTCATTAATTATAACAAATGTTAACTCCCTAGTGCAGAACGTTGGTAGGGGGGGAAGCTGCAGGGTGGGTGGGGAGGGGATATATAAGAACTCTCTGTACTTTCTGCTCAATTTTGCTGTGAATTTAAAACTACTCTAAAAAAAAGTCTACATTTAAATATATATATATGTATATTTTTTAACATGCAATCAATATAAAATATTACTAAATGAGATTTTTTGCATTTTTTCATAATAAATCTTAGAAACCAGCATGTATTTTACACTTACACCATTTCTAATTCATATTAACCACATTTTAAATGCTCAAAAGCCACTCAATGGCTAGTGGCTCCCATACTGGACAGCACAAGTCTACAGCCGTGGTAGCACCAAGCCATACTGGAGACATAAATGAAGAACAAGTATTTTGCTCTGCAAATGAAGCTTCCCAAGAAGTCTGAGTCTTTTTTCCACCCAGATTGCTGGCTCTCAACTCCTCTCACACAGACACTCAGGTGCATCCTCCCTGTGAGCCCCCTCCCCAGTCCAGCCCTCTAGATAGTATCACTCTGAAGATTTTTCTGATGGGAATCTGTCTAAAAGAGATGCACAGTGGGGAGGGTATAGCTCAAGCAGTAGAGTGCATGCTTAGTATGCATGAGGTCCTGGGTTCAATCCCCAGTACCTCCTCTAAAAATAAACAAATAAACCTAATTACCTCCCCCCACCAAAAAAAGAAAAAAAGAAATAAAAAAAAATACTAACTAAATGAATGAATAAAAGTAAAAGAGAGGTACAGAACAACAAGGAATAGAAGGAATTTATCACACCAGAGCTTCCTGAAACACATCATTAATATTAGGCGTACTCCTTATTAATAACAGGGGGAAAAAAGCTTTCAGGTCCTAAACACTATGCAGAAAGTGAAGAATTTAATAAAATGCAGTGCAGACTTAAACGCTACCTAGAAAATAGGTACTTAAGAAAAAAATTGCTGCTGTCAAGCATGGCATAAAGCAGAATGCATACAGACCCTGTAAGTTTTATTTATTTATAGTCACAAAAATCATTATTAAATGCCCAACTCCCACTTGAATCCTCTTTGAAATAAAGGAAGAAATCTAAAAATAAATACATAAAATTGGCATTTAATTGAATATTGCATTTTTAAATATATAAATTCTACATGAAAAGTCAAGTTTTTTTCATCTTTACATCTAAACCTTTTCAAACAAGTATCTTAATATAATCTTAATATAATTTAACAAAATGACATGATCATCTGGGATGACTTAAAATACTCCAACAAAAAAACATGATCATAAAAGTTGGGGAAATATGTAAGAATGACAGAACGCTGTTAACTGGTAAAGCTGAGTGATGGGTACTTGGACGTGGGCCATGCCTTTCTCGCCGCTTGTACACAGCTTACATTTAAAGTTTTCCAAATCAAAAAGTTCAACAATTAGCTTTGCACAGTGGCAGTACTGTAGCCAGTGAGGTTTATCTGAGGCGCAACTATTGCTAATTGAAAAAAAAAGTTCAAAAATTGTTGATGGTAAGTTTTAAAATATATGGATATCTTTAAGGAAAAGAATTGTTGATTGGTTGTCTCTGACTCAGGGCGTGGCACAGGAGATTTACTATTTATTTACGCTTTTCTAAACTGTTCACATGTTTTGATCAAACACTATTTTATCAATGAAAAAATATCTAAATACACACATATATATGTATGTATATAACACATACACCGAACTACACACATACATACACTTACATCATATATCTGTGTGGATGTACGTGTTTTGGTTAAGTGTAGAGCACTTAAACTTCTTGAGGTTACTGGTAATGCATTTAGCTCTGCATTTTATCAGCTGTGGGTCCTTAGGCAAGTCACTTCTGAGCCTTCTCAAGGTTAACATTTAAATGAGAAAATACATTTGAAAATACCCGGCATAATACAGGTATTCACTCAGTGTTGGTTTAAATGACATATAATATGTGGAGAGAACCGGGTTTATTACTGAGGTAGGCCTGCCCCTAACATGAGGGACCGTGAGCAAGGGGAGAACAGAGGCGTCCAGCCCATGGTCTGTTCTCTGTCTGCCCAACAGAGAGGCCTCACACATGCACGTGTGGATACCCCAACAAACCTGATTAAGCTCCACCACCCCAAAAGCTGCCCTCTGACCACTCCTGAGGCCTAGGTATGGGCACACTTAACCTGTCTACTCCCAAAGAAGAGCCAGCACAGGCCCTGGAAGTGGACTTCTGGCTAACTGTCAGGGAATTTCAAGGAGCCTCAGCAGCTAGAATCTAGTCTGGAATGTGCGCTTGTCACGGGGGGAGGCAGGTGTAGTGGGGAGATGTACTGGTTGAATTCCTTGGCCCCTGGGAAAGGATGTGACTGGAGAAGGGCCACAGTGGGTCCCTTCAAAGCAAGGGGCCCAGAGCAGGGGACCCAGGGGTCTTCTCTAAAAGTAGCACTGATTAGACACAAGGTGTTGTACTGAACCACTCAACAGAGTGGCAGTCAGAAGACATCGATTCTTGTCCCACTTCTGCCAGTAACTTCTTGTGTGACCCTAGGCCAATGTCTTTACCTAGCCATATACCTCGATTATCTCACACATCCATTCAATACATAATTATTGGGCTCCAATTATGGGTCAGGCATGCATCTAGATACTGTGGATATACACAGAATTCAACAGACAACAGTCTTTGCCCTCAAAGACTTACCATTTTGATGGGGAACAAGCCATGAAGACATCTAGGGCAAACATATTCCAAACAAAGGGTCTCTTCTAAATCAAAATTTTCATGATTAATCTTGCAAGTTGGCATGTTCATTAAATACAAATCACAAAAGAATCCTAAGAGGAAAAAAATAGCATGTCCAATTATAATGCAACACTATAAAGAGTACAAAGCATGACATTTATGATCCATTCTCTAACACAACAGTATGAGCACTCCACACCTGCTACTCTAATTTTAATCACAAGAATCATCACCATATGCAGCACAACAGCCAATCCCTAAATATGCATAAAGTTTTCTTTATATTATTACCAATTTTAATTATGTATATTGTGTATAGAAGATATTTATATGGAAGATATGATCACAAAGCATTTAACCACATTAATTTATTTAATAAATACATTAATACAATGTATTTTTAAAACGTTAATAATGAGCTTTATTATTTATTATTTAATTTACACTTGATAAATATAGAAATGTTATTTACACAGAGATGAATAGGGCGTGCAATAATGTACAGATAGTCTAAGAAGAGCTTATATTTATTCCAAACCAACCAAGACTGAATGCAGCTTCCTGACTACATCAATAATAGATGTTTGGTGGTCATGGCAGAGCATCTGGTCAGATGACTAGGAGTCAAGTGAGAAGACCTAGAAGATCTTGGATAAGACAGCGAAAAATGTTCTTCTGAAAAGGTAGGCAGTTAAGTAATAATGGAACTTCTGTCTCATTTAGTTCCAGCCCGACTTAAAAGCAGTCACACAAGGGGAGCCCCAGAGCTCAGATCATTCTAGCCACTGCATCCTACACCTTCTCAAAATTGAAGTTTCCCATTTATCACAAAATATCCACTATAAGGAACTATTTACACTTGTTAGACCCCACAATTAGAATCATTCATTCAAAGTACAGTGAACTTCTAGATACAAATCAAAGCACCCATAATGCATTGCAGCCAAGTTCTCCCTCTATGCTTGGTTCAAAATAAAACAGAATAGTGTGCATGCACTGTCCCAGCTTTATTAGTAACAGTGTTTTTTATTGCAGCTACTTCCACTAGATGGCACTAAAGACTCTGTTTTAGAAATCAGGTTCTGGGGGAAGGAATCAGAAGGCAAAAATGATCCATCTGAAATAAACAATACATTTCTTCAGTCTTCTGTCCTATCATTATGATCAGTTTCTTAGAAATTAAACATGAACCTTGGCCATTTACTCACTCATCAAACATTTACTGAACCATACTATGTTTGAGACATGCTCAACGTTAAGAATGCAGAAATAAAATACAATTCCTTGTCCTCAAGAGAACGCAGTGTGGGAGGGGTGGGCTGCAGAGAGGGCAGAATCAGACAAGCAAGTATAAAACTGAAATGCAGAATGTTAAAAGATCTAATATCAATAAAAAATGTTAAAAAAAAGATTTAATAGAGGTCATGACAGAATACCACAGGCAGCACACAGAGGGATACCGAATAAAGATGTGGTCAATGAAGGATTCCTAGAGAAGCTGATGTCTGAAAACTGAGCTCTGAAGAATGGGTAGGAATTAACTAGGCAGGGAGAATGGGCAGGACGTCCTAAGCAGAGCAAGTGGCTTGCAGAATCATACAAAAGGCTGATGCTCAGGTGCAGGCTAGGGTCAGGCTGGGGCAGTGCAAGAAATGAGGCTGGCTGAGCTGGTAAAGACAGAGTCAAGGGAAGCCCCCGCTAGAAGATAGTCTGCTTGAGAGCAGGGATTTTTGCTTGTTCTACACAATGATACATCCTGGCACATGGCCAAAGTCCCTCCCTTCATGGGATGTATTGTTCTAGGGGGGAGCTAGCCATGAAGACATTCAGGGAAAACATTCCAGGTGCTTAAAGGATATTTGATGAATAAACGAAGGTACTGAACAGCTACTCAAGATCATGATCAGACTGCAGTTTCAAAAAGATCTCTAACAGGACTATAGCGAGTGGGTTGGAAATAGGAATACTTAACTAGCAATCCAAACAAAGTATGATAAGAATCTGAACTAAAGCAGGAACAGCAGGGAGGGAGTAGATTCAGAGACATGATGCAGGAAATAGTGGTAACAGTAAGAAGACCCCTAGAAGAAGTGGGCTGGCGCTTTACATGTATCACCTCCAAATCCCACAGCAGCCAAGGGAGGAGGAAATGTTGTTTCGTTTTGTTTAAAAAAGGGCCAAAGGACCCTGGGAAACAGCCACGTTTAAGAGCCAGGTGGAAGAAATAGTGTAGCACAGGGAGAAAGACAAAGAGTGGTTAGAGGGGCGGGAAGAGGAAGGAAAATCTAGAATAGTGTTATGGCAACCAAAGAGGAGAGAGTCTCAAGAAGAAACTCAATGTCAAAAGCGCTGGCCAACTCTGGTAGATAATAACTGAGAAGTGTCCACTGGATATAGCCAAGTGGGAAGTTATCAGGGACTTTGCCAGAAGCAATTTCAGGGAATGGTGAGAGCAAAAGCCAGACTGTACTGTGCTCAGGAGTAAAACGTGAGGAGAAGAATTAGAGAAGCTAGTGTAGGCTGTTCTTTTTAAGAGGCAGAGAGAAATCAGGAGCCAGAGAGGGGCACAGGGTAGGAGAAGAGACCTAAGCATAGGTATGAGCTGAAAGGAAAATCCACCAGAAAAGACAGGATGAAGATAGAGGAGAAGGGGGAGGCAGCTGAGACTGGGCTTCAGAAGGCAGGCCTTAGGAGAAAGGATCCTCCTTGCTTTGAACTAAGGAAGAAGGATGGTGAGTGACTGAAACAGGTATAATGGTGAAAGGTAAGTCTGACGTAGCTCTAGGGTCCACGTTCTAAACCCTCACTCAGTGTCTGGTAGTGCTGATCAGGCCAATTGTCTGATCCAGGCCTGCCTGATGTCCCGATGCATCCTCCTCCCTTCCTGGCCTTCTTGTCTCTGGAACTGCCCCTGTCTGAGGCCACAGGAGTGGGCTGAAACCCTTCAGACACCTTGCTGGAGCTCACCGCTTTCATCCGTCCTGTTCGTCTGATCCCGTGACTTCTGTACTTCCTGTAACTGCTCTGCTGCCTGGGGTCCCCAGAAAGATGAAGCCGTATGTGAGCACGGAACAAAACACTAACTAATTCTGGGGAAGGAGAATCCTTACACAATCCTCTCCCATAATTTCACCCCATGTTGCTTACAGTCTGCACGACCCACAGAACCCTTGGTTGCATGTAGTCCTGTTTGTTCCACTTTGAGGTCACTGATTTGCCTCACCAGTAACAAGTCTTTATGAGATGTCTGCTGTGTAGGCACGGGGCTGGCTGCCAAGGGTTTTTCATCTTAATAGACAAAGAATACGTGTGCATTTGTGTGTGTGTATGCGTATATCTATATACATACACACATGCACACATACAAACATATACATACATAATAAATAAAAAACACCCAATACCAGAATGTAGCACAAACTGAAAAGTGAAAGTACAGGCAAAAGTGTTTCTGGAGCTCAAATGTGGAGCTCTGAAGTGACAGGGAAAGTTCAAGGAGTTGGTGTGGGGCAGCTTAGCAGAGAAGGAAGGGCAGGTCTGGAACAATAAAGGTGGAAGAATTCTGAAGGCAAAATTGGAAAAGGCCAAGAAGTGTGCTTGGCAATGTTTAGGTACAACTAAAAGGCCCATTTTATGGATCTATTAAGGAATCCAGATTTTATTCTCTGGAGATTGGGAACTACTGAAGCTTTCAGAATGAAAGACTGTTTTGTATGATATTTGTACAATTAATTTGGAAAAACTGCGTAGAATCAATTGAGAAAAAAATGGAGGGTAGGAATCATTGAGACTATTCTAATACTTGAGGTAAAGGTGATAAAGTCTTTATCGTCCTAAAATTCTACACAGTAAGGTGTTGGCGGTGGAGATGGAAAGAAATTGGTACCCGCCTGGATATGGAAAAAGAGAAAGGAGGCCAGGAGCACTATAGGGTTTCAAGCTGGAGGGAAAAGAGAATGATGACATCTTTGAGACAATAAAACAGGACAATTCAGAGCACAGTTTAATGAACAAAGACGTTCAATGAAGTTTAAGACACGTGGGGCTTTAGGTGATGGGGCCATATCTGGGCGCAGGTTTATAACAGATGGTTGTGATCAAAGCTCAGGAGAGACGTCAGTACTGAAAGTGTGAACCTGAGAACCCACCTGCATAAGCAGAAAAAGTAGGGCATAAAGTGGAGAAAGGGGAACCAGTGAGGAAGGAGAATGTGAGAAGCAGTCCAAGGAATCAAAAGGCCAGGAGAGCAGAGTATTTCAGAAGGCAAGGGGGAGACAGGTGTTAAGGACAAGAAAGTACATGACGATGGTAAATACTAAAGAGACTGCAGTGAAAAAAGGCCAGTGACATGGTCATTCGTGGTCTACAAGAGAAAAGTTTCAATAGGAAAGAGGAGTTAGTTTATTTAGGGGAGGAAAAAAAATGGGTGGTGATGGTGATACTGGGAGATGGTGATGAAGGCAGAAAGTGAGACCACTCTTTTGAGAAATGTAGTGGTGAGAGCCACAAAGGTAAGCTAAAAGGCAGTCTAGTCAAGGGAGGATTTGGTAGAACGTGCTAGTCAGGGACTGACTGAAAAAACAGCAAGGTTTTGAGAAGAAAGGAAAAGTTGGAATAAAATGCAAAGGTCATGTGGGGTCACCTTGGAAGAGAAGAAAAGCAGTCAGGTGAGGGATGAGGAGGTGTGATGAATCACAGATTTGTTTTTAAGTAAAAAGTCGGGGGAGTTGCTTTTCTCACTCAATTAGAGGCAGTTAGCTGCTGAATATATAAGGGATTCAATAAGAAGCTGGGAAAGGAAAGGGTAGAGGTAGTTGGGGTAGAATCTTAATGGTATCATAAGACAGAGTTCAAATCTTGATGTGTTACCTTGGACTGGCCACCAACCTTGAGACTTTCCTCATAGAGTTGTTAAAAGATTAAATGAGATAATGCGCATGTAAATTATACAACATTTCTTAAACAAGAGAAGCTTGGAACATCTGCTATGGGAAATTTGATAAAGCATGAATAAGAGATGAAGCGAAGCATCACCAGGCATCAGGGAGGGCTGAGGTAGAGTTCAGAGCAAGAATATACAGCAAACCGAAGTCTGCAGTTTTTGTGACATACTCCAGTATCCTGGAGTGGAGAGAGCGGATTCTGAGTCAGCAGGCACGCAGAAGGACAAAAAGCTGAAGAAAACTAGGTAAGGACTATTTTAAGACCTCAGTAGGCATGCTTACTTTGGGAAATTACAAGTAATTTACACATAAAAGTGGCATTTGACTCACTGACATGTTATATTTTAGAAATGGCCAACCATTTCAATTTCTTATTTTATAGTTTTCTTTTCATAGTTTGGAGTCGACAAGTTTTTGTTTCAGATTCCATATATTTTAAAGCTTAGGCTCTAGGCACTGTGCCTATAGCATGAAATGGATATTGAGGACATCAATGAGGCAGCGGCCCGTTGGGTCAAATCAAGTAGGGGAGGTAAAGAACAAAGCAACCAGTGAGGTACTCAGATAGGTTAGACGGGCTTAAGCGGCTGGAGATACGAGAACAAGTGGAGAGTAAGGAGCCAGAGTGTTACCATTTCTGGAGATGCAGGTGTGGCCAATAGAGGAGATCCCAGGTGTAGGCAACAGAGGAGACCTCAGGTGTAGCAGAGCCCTCGTGCGGCCAAATCAGGAGACTCCACCTAAGGACACTTAAAGGAGACAAAGAAATTGTGAAGTAAAGGGTGCCTGATGTATCGTTCATCCTGCCACTAGTTTGTGAGCCCACAAAGGGCTTTTCCCTCTTTGACAGCCTCCACTAACCAATTGTGACCAGTCACAGGCCCTCCTTGATTGATTAAAAACAGCGGGACAAGCTTGCCCCGTTTCTCTTACACAAACTGTAGAATTCTGGATGACAAACAACCCCTTAGTCTGGACGGGTGAAACATCGGCTTCTCCAGCCCCAGGGAACGAGGAGTCGCGCTCCCGGGCGCTGGGAGAGCGCACGCAGCGCTAGACCTCGGTCCAACGGTCTCCCTGAGGGGCCCTTCGCCCCGGAAAAGGCCAGGAGCCGGCGAGCCGCTTCTAGGAGCTCCTGTAACCGGCACGCTAGGCCTCAGGGGCTCCTGAACTAAAATAAGCTGGGAGGCCCAGAGGGGACCTTGCAGGCTCTCAGCAGCATGGAGAAACGCCGACATCGCGTCCCGCTACGGGGAAACAACGAAAGCACCTCCCCTTTCAACTCCCAGCAAGCCCTGGGCGGTGCTCGGGGCTAACTGACAGCGCCATTCACCAATGGGAGGGCCTAGGTTGAGTTCATGGGACCAATCAGAGGGCGCAAGGGAGGCGTGCCCCTCGCACATCAGCGCGGCTTCATAAGTGGTCCTCTGGCCTGTCTGGTCGCTACTGCTATAAAGAGAGGGCTACTCGCCGTAAAATGGTGACGCTGGCTACACTATGCCGCTCACTCCCGGTCTTACTCTTTTCCACCTCCGAGGCCCAAGCCCTCAGATCGCCCCTCCCCGGAGAGGACAGGCGAAGATGTGGGATTTCCAAAGCTTATTGGACGCCGGTGGTGTCGCTCTGGGGGGCCGCCGGGCCCGTAGCGGCAAGCACCGCCCCTCTCGGACGGTGATTGGGCTCGCCTGAGTAGACCCGGGCTGGGATTGGTGCGAGGAAGGGCCAGAGCCTTCGGGCACCTTGGACCGGAGCGCGGGGAGGCGGTGGCAGCCGAGGAGCCGGCGGGGGCTCGCAGCTCCCTCACCCGCCTCGTGCCTTCTGCGGAGGGCCCCGTGGAGGGAAGGAGCGAGCGGCCTCCCTACCGCATCACGCGGGGGGCGAGGGTGGCACTTGTCGCGTGTCGGGCGCGGGACCAGTGGGGTGGGCGGCGGGAGGGGGGTGGTAGCGGAGGGCGTTAGAGGTGCAGAAATCCAAGAGTCGGCAGCAGGACTAGCTGGAGACCTAGACCTGGAAGCGCTTCTGGGGAGGAGGACGTAGGGGGCAGAGGAGGGCGTGGGCGTGTCTGGTATGGGATGCCAGGCGGAGGAGGGGGCCCTGCTGAACAGATCTGTGGGTGGATACTTTGAGGAATCCTCTTCCTTTTTTTCCCTTTGATTTGCCTAAGAGAGAGTCCCCATGGTCTCTGTTCAAGTTTCGGAAACCTCTTTGGGTGGGCCTAATCACCTACTACTTCTTTATAGAACTGCCCAGGGCCTTTTCTGATACTGAGCACAAACGTGGGGAATATGGCAGAAAACAGGAAGCCGCTGCTGGGCTTCGTGGGCAAACTCCCCAGTGGGACCACACTTGGGAACTCAGGCAAGACTCACTGTCCTTTGTGCATGGGGCTTTTCAAAGCCCCCAGGCTCCTGCCTTGTTTGCACACAGTTTGCACCACCTGTCTGGAGCAGCTGGAACCCTTCTCAGTAGTGGACATCCGAGGGGGAGAGTCTGACACAGGCTCTGAGGGGTCACTATTCCAGGAACTCAAGCCGCGCACTCTGCAGCCGCAGATCGGCATTCTCTGTCCGGTATGTGATGCTCAAGTGGACCTGCCCATGGGTGGAGTGAAGGCTTTAACCATAGACCACCTGGCCATGAATGATGTGATGCTGGAGAGTCTGCGTGGGGAAGGCCAGGGCCTGGTGTGTGACCTGTGCAGCGACAGGGAAGTGGAGAAGAGGTGTCAGACCTGCAAAGCCAATCTCTGCCACTTCTGCTGCCAGGCTCATAGGTAAAGATGGGTTACCCCACCTGGTGTGGCTTAAGAGCGGAGTACAAAGAGGTGTCAGATGGAAAGGAAAGCTCAAATGCCTTGGGAGGTCAGAGGGCAATATACGATGTGACAACAGATCCTCCAGAACAGTAGTTAACTCCCGCAGCCTTTACATAATACCTGTGGTAACAGTAACATCCAGGGTTTGCAGAGTCCTTTTCAGTTTACAATTCACATTCAGCTACCTTGGCTCATCAGTCATTTGTATAGTGAATAATTGTACTAGGTGCTATAGAAAGAGAATGAATATAATAGCATAGCCCCTGCCCTTGATATCATTTGATCCTTGTAACTCATAGAAAGGCAGGCACCATTTTCACTCCTATTTATTATCTGAAGCTCAGCAATATGATTTGCCAAGGGTCCCATAGGTGGTAAGTAGTGTGTAACAGAACTGAATTAGAAATCCAGATCTTCTAACTGCTTCCTGTGCTCTTTCTACTAATCTGTGCTGCCTTCCCAGTATAAGGTGCTGATTGGTGGGGCCCCACCTCGGCCTTTGCCAGGTACTCTGGAGTTACTCCGGAACTTGGGGAGGTGGGCTGGTGGGTGCTCATTGGGATACAGATAAGTCTTTTATGGTGTTTGGTGAACAGTTTGTCACATGAATCACTTTGTCCCTTTTCGCCCCCTTCCCCTACTCCAGGACATCCCAGTGTAAAATGGCCAAGGTTTTAGGATTAGCCTAAAATAGTTTTAAAGTCCTGCTTTCCATGTGTTCTCTGGCCTCACCAACGGGACAAGTTAGTAGCCTTCAGTCTATTTTTAACTTGTAATGATGACTACCTTGCTTTCAGCTAAACAGCTGACCCTGTTTTATCTACAGCCACCCTTCTGGTGCCAAAATAGGCATGTCAGCCTCACGTCGATATAATGCTAACAGGGAAACTGAACCGTCACTGTGGGTTCCTCAGGATTTCCCTGGATCTCTAGAGGGCTACAGAAAATTAAAAGAGCTTTGATTTCTATTGACCACTGATTTTACTCTTTCTAATAATGCTGACTCGAAAATCCTTAGCTTGCTGGGTTGGGTGATGTGGGCACTGGTCAAAGGAAATGCTTTCCCAAGGTCTTACATGAAAGATGAGGGAGACTTTCTGTTGCAGCCAGCCAGCTGCTTTTTAGTTGTCTGAGGTTGACTGCTGTGCCCTCTGGCACAGTTTTTGTCTCTTGCTGCGGGGGTCTCCACCTGTGCTCTCCCCTCTGGCTGGCTGTGGGAGTAGGCTATGGCTCTTGACAAATTAACTCTTCGGGGCAAGTTCCAGGATGTAGCCTTAGCATTGCAACCTCTTGCAAAGTCATATGCCAAGCCAGGGAGCCCTAGCCTACTGTCATTCAGTGCTATACAACAGCCCTTCCGGGTAGGTGTTACCCCCACGGTTTAGAGGAGGAGCTGGACTCAGAGATGGTCATGTGGTTTGTAGGAGGTTCGAGCAAGGATATGAAGTCAGATTTATCTGACTTCAGAGCCCAGGCTTTTAAAAGTGCCCAACTGTTTCCCAACTAGAGTTGTCCCCTAATTTCCCGTTCCTGGCTCTGTTGGCCCCTAGGCGGCAGAAGAAAACGACTTACCACACCATGGTGGACCTCAAGGACTTGAAAGGCTGCAGCCGGATTGGGAAACCCATCCTGTGTCCTGCTCACCCTGCGGAGGAGCTGAGGCTGTTCTGTGAGCTCTGCGACCAGCCGGTGTGCCGGGACTGCGTGGTCGGGGAGCACCGGGAGCACCCGTGCGACTTCACCAGCAACGTCATCCACAAGCACGGGGACACTGTACGTGAGCTCCTCAAAGGCACCCAGCCCCACGTGCAGGCCCTGGAGGAGGCCCTGGCCCAGATCAAGGGGACAAACAGTGCCCTGCAGGCGCGGGTGGAGACTGTGGCCAACGACGTCCGAAGCTTCTCTGAGGGTTACATCAAGGCCATTGAGGAGCATCGGGACAAGCTGCTGCAGCAGCTGGAAGACATACGGGTCCAGAAGGAAAACTCCCTGCAGCTGCAGAAGGCACAGCTGGAGCAGCTGCTGGAAGACATGCGGACTGGAGTGGAGTTCACCGAGCACTTGCTGACCAGTGGCTCGGACTTGGAGATCCTCATCACCAAGGGGGTGGTCGTGGAACGGCTCACAAAGCTGAACAAAGTGGAATATAGTGCCCATCCCGGGGTGACCGAGAAGATTGCCTTCTCCCCTAAAAAGAAAGCAGGCCTGTGCCGGGGCTATGAAGTCTATGGGGCCATCAGTACCAAAGAGGTTGATCCAGCCAAGTGTGTTCTTCAAGGAGAAGGTAGGGAGGCATTTCCCATTGGCATCAAGAGGGCAGTAGACAGGGACATGGTGTTAAAGACAGGTGGCTTTTTCTGATTTGTTCTGGTCGGGATCCAGTTAAGATCCCAATCACGGGTGATGCTTGACCTTTTTCCTGTTGAGAAAAGTAGCAACAACCAAGGAGCTCCGGGACCGTGCTTTCTCTCCAATGACAGAACAGGCAGTGCCCGTGGGAGGTAACGGCACAGGCTGGCGGCAGGGCGAGGTCCTGCCTGTTCAGAGAGGGTGGCTGGGGCCAAGTTTTGAAGAGAGTTTCAGAGAGGTGAGGAAGACAAGATGGTGGTTTACTTTCTTCTGTGCCCTTCCGGGTTCATGTAAGCCACATATGGGCATTTAAAAAAATATGGCAGGCATTTCACTCAGTAGGGGGAAAAGACAATTTCTTTTGATCACCTCTTCCTAAAGGAAGCATGTTATTCCAACATGTATGTCACAGATCAGTCCTGACAGGATGATTGTATCCTAGGGTCATCCTGACGCTGGCTCAGGAATTCTTAACTGGAGGTCACAGGTCCCCCGCTGAGAATGATCTCTCCCTGAGAAATACCCACGAATTTGGGCATACTATGTCAGGAGATTCTTAGAGCCTTCATAAGACCTCACAGTAGTTCCCCAACCCCAGGTTAAGAAGCCTGTTTCATCTGACTTCTGGACCAGAGGCTGTAGCTACTGAATATTCCCCCAGCACCTTGACACAGTGACCAGGTTGTGGAGAACCTCACAGCATGAAGAATCCAAGCTGGTCAGCTGTTCCCCCACCTTTCCCAGCACTATTGGCAGTTATGGGCTTACCAGCCTCTCACGGTTTTTTTCTAGAGATTTTTTTTTTCTCTGAATACATACATCAAGCCTGAGTGTTTTCAACGCTTCCTTAAGGCTGAAATTAAGGTCCAGGATCCTTATGTGCTCCAAGAGCAGATGCTGGCTGAGAGAGAACCAGGCTTACCAGGATGGACTCCCAAAAGTGTGCGCTGGGAGACAGATGGGGAGAGAAAAGGAGGAGGAAACAGGAAGCACAACCTTTTGTTCTAAAGAGAAAACACAGGGCGGTGTCTGATCCGGGGATGTAGTCACTGCAGTCGGCCTTTGAGGTGGGTTCTGAGTGCTTATCTCCTGCAGATCTCTACAGAGCCCGCGAGAAACAGACCGCCTCTTTCACCCTGCTTTGTAAGGATGCAGCAGGAGAGAACATGGGCAAGGGAGGAGACAACATCCAAGTCGCGGTAGTCCCTAAAGATAAGAAAGACAGGTTTGTATTATACAGTCAGGCACGTGGGTAATGAGCGGTGACGGAACTGGAAACTTGAAGTCCTCTGTAGTGATGAAGCTCTAACTGCAGTAGTTACAGCCCACCCCACCCCCATGATGCTGCTGAAAAGGCAAAAGGACCAGTTGGACCAGATGAGTTTTCCTGTATGGGTCTTATGTCTGGAGTTAGTTCTGTTCCAGAGTTCTGATCTGCCCTTCAGACTGTCTTCATCCCAAGCTTTGAACAGACTGAAACAAACTCTGTGTTGGACTGAATGGTGCCCTTCTTAAAATTCAGTCCCACTTTGCTACTAAATTGTGCTGGGAGCAAAGTTATGTCTCTGGAATTAGAGGAGGGAGGAGAGAGGCCAAAGAGTAGGAAGTCGGTTGGAGAGAACATAACATTTTCAAGAAATTCATCTGAACATCAGATTCAATCATTATGTATGTTGCTTACCTTCTGTTGTAAAAATCAATCTCAGAGACAAGTGGAAGCAGCATCCTGCTCGGGGGACGTTTAAAATTAATACTGAGGGGGAAGAGTGGTAGAGCAGTGGTAGAGCGCATGCTTAGCATGCATGAGGTCCTGGGTTCAACCCCTAGTACCTTCATTAAAAATAAATTAAATTAAATTAATATTGAATTTATGGTATAGTGTACATCTTAAGATAGCGGGCAGCTGAAGCAGGCTTGTGAATGAGTGGCGTTTGAACTCTCCCCTCTGTTCAGTCCAGTCAAGACGATGGTCCACGATAACAAGGACGGGACATACTGCGTGTCCTACACCCCCAAGGACCCTGGTGTCTACACTGTGTGGGTGTGTGTCAAGGAGCGGCATGTGCAGGTGAGGGCGACCCAGCCTATGCCTCCCTGACCTCCTTCACCCTAGCCCGCCGGCTTCTGTCATCTTAGGGTGTGGAGACATTCCTCACTGGACCAGCTGTATAGAGGGACTGAACGGGTTCTCTCCTTCCTTGCTTCTCTTCACTTTAGAAATGGCCCAGATGTGGCAACTCTTATTCTCACTAGAAGATGTTAGTGAACTCTCTAGACCTATTTCGCCTCCTGGCAGTTATGCTTGGCTTGTATGTTATCCTTATCCCAGTTGGTTTGTTGGAATTCCTAATTTGGGAAAGATGCCTTGGTCACAGGGGCAAACTATAGCAGACAAGTATATACACTCAAGAAATATAATCCAGGATTTTCCAGTGTTGTTCAGACTATGACCAGACACAGACTTACTGGAACACAACTGGGAGAGTTATGCCCTCTCCTCTCAACTGACCAGTCCTCTCTCTGCCTAACCACATGCCCATGTAATTCTCTACTCTGTTTACATATATGTGCTTATCTGTTACCATGGTTACTACCACCTCCACAGACAAGCGT